AAAAAAAAAAAAAAAAAAGCCAGGTGTGGTGGTGCATATTTTGTAATCCCAGCACTCAGGAGGCCGAGGCAGGAGGAACACTGAGTTTGAGGCCAGGCTTGGCTACGTAGTAAATTGAAGGCCAGCCCGGACTACACAGTGACGCCCTGTCCGAAACAAAACAAAACAAAAATTGTAGGGGCTGGGGATATAGCTCAGTGGTTCTGCTGCCTGCCTCAAAAGCATAAGGACCTGAGTTTGATCCTCGGTAGAAAAAATAATTATAAAGTTAATCCCCCCTAAAAAAATAAAAAAGAATCTTTAAAAGGCTGGGGATGCAGCACAGCACAAAGTCCATCTCAGTTTGGAGGTGGACATAGGAGAAGATAGGAGAGAGGAAAGAAAGGAGGGAGAAAGAGAGAGGAAAGACTGCAGGATGGAGCTGGGAAGAGAGCTGGGACCCTGTGCAGCATCCCGGGGTGTGACTCGATCAAGGATCTGCAGATCTTGAACAACAGGATGCTCCTCCAGCCTAAACTACTTGCTGCTACTTTGGGAGTTGTCTTCGGCAGGGTTACTTTTGCTCGCCCTCCCTTTGCCTATCATTCTAAATGTTTTTTTTTGTTTTTCTTTTCCTGTATCAGGAATTGAACTCAAGTCCTTGCCCTTGCAAGGCAGGCATGGTGCCGCTGAGCTAAATTCCGGCCCCATTCTAAATTCTGAAAGCCACACCTAAATGATTAAGATGTTAACCAAAGCCTAACTTGATGGTACAAGTCTATAATCCCCAGCTGCTTGGGAGGCTGAGGCAAGAGGAGAATTGCAAATTCCAGGCCAACCTGGGCAATTTACTGAGACCTTGTCAAAAAATAAAAAATTTGGGGGCCAGGAATTTAGTTCAGTGGTTCCACTGCCTACCTCACAAGTGCAAGGTCCAGAGTTTGATCCCTGTACCAAAAAAAAAAATTTTTTTTTAAAAGGGATCCCTGGATTTAGTCTCTGGTGCAAATAAGCTAGTTTAGCTGCCAAATAATTTTTCTCTTTTTTTGTTTTTTTGAGACAGGGTCTCACTGTGTAGTTGAGACTGACCTGGCACTCACTATGTAGCCCAGGCTGGCCTCGAACTCACAGCGATTGATCCTCCTGCCTCAGTCTCCCAAGTGCTGGGATTGCAGGTGTGCCACCACGCCCAGCCCAAATAATCTTTCTTTATATTTACAGAACCCAGAATATCTGGTGACATTTGGATAGCATCAGAATGTGTAAGTTCCCTCCTTCGTCTTTCTCTCTGGTCAGCTAACACAAAACATGCAAATTGCTATCATGTTTAACTTGCAGAAAAAGTAATGTTTGTAACTAGCCCCAGGAGGTTGAGTCAATTACATTATTCTCCAAAGGGGGGAAAAAAGCCAATAAACCACTCATCTCTCTTTGCCTCAGTTCTCTCTCTACAAAAGCCCTTTCCTGTACCTGAGCTCCCTAAGATGTTTTTGGGAGAGGACAGTAGCTCCCCTCATTTTGGCACCCTGGAATTAACCTGATTTTCCTCCCAGAAACTCTCATCTTCCGAGCTTTGGGTTTTAAGTGGCAAGCGGACAAAGTGAGGTCCAGTAACGGTCCCTCTGTGTGAATGCCATGGTCACACACAGGTACTGCACACATGCACACACATCACGCACACACCACAGTGCATATGTGTGGGCACCCTCCACACAGAGGAAGCTTCACATGAGACTCAGTACATCCGGGGCTCTTTTTTTTTTTTTTTGGTACTGGGGATTAAACTCGGGTCCTTGCGCTTGCAAGGCAGGCCACCAAACTGCTGAGCTAAATCCCTGGCCCCTTCTGGGGCTCTTTATACACTGTAAAATTACGCCTGTCTTTGAGGTGTGTAGGAGGCCGGAAGGTTGGGACAGAAGAGGGTCTCAGTGGGTTGCTGCCTCTCGGTACCCTCCCCCTCTCCAACTGGAGTCTTGGAACA